GTGATTTGTAACTGGGTAAATAAAGGATTAGTGGAAATTGGTCGGTCTCCAGACCACTCTATTTGAAAGACCCTGGTGGAAAACACACATTTTACATATTTTGAACTAAAATACTGTTCTTTTCTTTTTTAACACCATAATTGACATTGCTGCTGATAAATGTAGTCAAGGTAAATACAAGATGTGCTAACAGTTTGGTTACATGACAAATCAGGTCAAAAATAAAGAATTTCTAGGGATGATTGAAAAGTGGTTGTGATTGAAAACTGGCAGTATGTGGATATATCCAGTTCCAAGTATCTGATAGTCTTCTTAAGAAGAAGGTAAAAATTTAGTACTCTTGACCCGATCTGGTGAAGGGGTCTCTTTCTATAGTATTCAATAATTAGGTATTCTATTATGGATCAATGACTGGTAAAACCTTATTTATCTTTATAAGGTAGATATATAACCCATTCAGGTTAATTTACCTCCATTTTCTAACTGTCCACCCGGTCCGACTGCGGTTTTACTATAACCGTTTTGTTGTTGTTGTGTACCTCGTATCACGTGATTAGAATGTGACGTCACACGGAGCATTACAGCGACAACAACAAGTATGGTATTTTACATAAATATACGGACAATTGTGTGATTTAAATGGTTGTTATCAATAGTAAAACATACAATTGTGTTAAATGAACGATAACTTTACTGTGACAATTAGTATTATGCTTAAAAATGAAATAATAACGAAGCGGTCGATCTGGATCACCAGACGCTCATGAAACAGTGAAAGGTACATGTAAATTCGCCCCTCACTAAAGAATTGGTCTCCAATTTGGATTGTAAGTAAGTTAATCTATATTAATTATAACAATACAATTAAAATGTTGTGTCTAGCCAAAAATAAAAAAATATATGAATATTTCAGTGTAATCAATAGTGCATAACCAGAATTAAAATAATTAACAGAAATTTTAACAGGCAATAACATTACTGGTTGGGGAGATAACTTCGGCTGGTTGATAAACTCGGCTTTTTATAATTATATAGAGGATATCAGGGCTCATCCTGGGGGAAATTTTAGGGAGAAGTTACGACCTCGCGAAAATTAGGGAGAAGGGAAACAACCCAATGTGTATGCATTAACATGCATGGCTATACATCCTTTAATTATAATATAAACACAATTAACATCACTTATAATAGTTCTCCAGTTTATTAATTAATAGTAGATTAATTCATGGTAGTATAAATTAAAAGTAGATTAATTATTTAGTAGTAGATCTGGCAATGGCATCTAAATGTTTTTGAGCTGCAAATATGAGCATAAAAAATTATTTTTGATATCTATTGATCAGCTATTTATAAGCTTTCTCTAAATATGTGTTTATATATTTTCATGTACATTTGTTGATAATAATGTGTAAGAAAAGATATGATGATAAAATCAATTTCATATGTTTTACTTTCCTTACCTTTAAAAGAAGATGAAGTCACATTGAATATTGACTAATAATATCTGTTCTATTCTGTTCTGGTAACAGAAATTTCTTACAATGTACAGAATGTTGTAATGTCACGATTATATGCATATAATTATGGTTATAAAACAATTTTCAAACATCAAAGAATATGTAAAATATGTACTTCAAACATTTGTGCACATTATATTTGATCACTAAAATTACATACATTCATTTCTTATTGAAAAATTTGACTGAGAAATTGTAGAAAATTAATTTCTAATTACCTCCCTTTATTTTCATGAAACGTTAAATTCGGTAATATCTTTATAAATAATGCTTTTTAAAATTTACAATATTGATAAATCTTAATCTGAGCGTCATATTTACGACATTAAAACAAATATATATATTGAAACAATAAGAACACTTCTTTCCTGACAAATTTTGTTGTCATGATATACGACCGATATGTAGTTTAGCCGGGATGTCTTACCCACGTGCGTAAACTGTGTCAAATTTGGCATTTCTACAAAGAGAACAATGTCAAACACCCCCACTGTCTACAACATACCATTCGCAAGATTTTTGCGAATTGGCTTTCTTAAATTTTTGCGTAGGTGTAACTATCAGAATCAGTAACTTTCTTACTGCTCGGTTTCGGCATTTCGCCTTGTAGCCATGACGTGAGCGACATAACAATTTACAGTAAAAATTGATGTTAACAGACTGAAATCATTCAAAACTATGAATCCGATCGCTGATCATTAATAAAATTGATTATTTTTAATTGACTAACAGTTTTGTGATAGCCGTGAAAAATCCATTGCACATCGCCTTTACTCGGGTTAAAAACCCACCATCGAAGTGCATCGTGTATATCAATTAGGGAAGATTGCACGTGTTTAGATAATCGGGAAAAAAACAATGTATAATTAGCGCCAAATCCCGTATTAAACTCGCAAAACTATATACCGTTTCGGGCCGATGCTCTCATTATTTACTGTTTAGAGTAGGCGGTCTATCGCTTCGCTTACAGGTAGAAGGGTAGTATAAAGCGACGCTCTGATTGGATAATGACAATTAGCGGTCGTCATATGGGCGGATACAATTTCTGCTCTTTACATAGCTAAGTAATTACTATTTGGGAATTAAGATTTTATCGGCGATGTTGACTTCTCTTTGATCAATCGGAAGAGCGAAATTAGAATATACACGGCGAAGTTTTCGCCTGAATCGCCCTTCCGGATGAGCCCTGGGATATTTGTTTAGTTCAGTGTAAAATCGGAATATATTTCACCGAGTGAGCACCAAAAGGTATATTTCCACGAGTGAAATATGAACTTTTGGTGTTCTCAAGGTGAAATATATTTCGATCTTACACTAAACTAAACAAATTTTCTTTTTATTATATGCAAAGAAACGTTTTAAAAAGACATTAAACCTAATACTGAATGAAAAGCGCGCCAAATAATAATACAACGTGACGTCATTTACGTAAAGGGGCTTAAATTCAAAACAGTGAAATTACCATTTTTATATCACTGATATATTTCTATAAACCACTGAAAAGCATGTAATAAATCGAGTTATCGGAATTTTTAATCTAATCAAGCTCACCATCTCATACTATCGCTGGAATTCGACAATATCTGGAAATTTTGTCAAGTTTGGTAAGATATTTAAAAAATAACACAGACTTTTACCTGTTTGTTTATAAAACATGCCTATAAAAAGGAGGGGAATCCCATTGCTGTGCGTATGTGCAGCAGATGATCATTTTGAGGCCCGCACACAGGGGTACTTTTATATATTGACCGACTACCGGTAAAGCAGACGACGTTTACGTATACATTTTGTAGATGAAATTCAGACTCACTTTTGTCTTGCTAACTCAGAAGAAAGGCTGATTACACAATTTTAATCTTTAAGTGGAATGGATTGAAAGACTGATGTTAAATGCTCCTTTTATATGTTATTGTGTAGGTTGAATACCACTAAATTAATTTCTTCTTCACTCTATTAAGCTAAGCAAAAATGAATTTGAATCACTAATTCTTTAACTACATATTTCGTTATACGTTAATAAATGATAATGCATGTGTTTTTACGTAAAAATGATTTATATGTTACATAGTAAGTTGCATATAAATATCGTGTTATCATAGATACGTAATGCTCAACAATGTTTTTAACAAATATTTTTTATTTGACATAAATGAACAGCAAAGAACTAGTAAAATGTCTAAACATGTTATTTTACGTTTTAACTTAATCATTTAAGAAGGAAAACAAAGAGCCAGAATTATCTACTCGCGCGCGTTAAAAATATCCTTTTTACGTACCTCTTCCAGGGCCTCTCAAAATTACCCGTTTTGTTTCTAAATATAGTTTTTATGGTGATACCGGAAAATCGAAGAGCTGAAGTTTATTATGGTGCAAGATATATCAGAATACGTAAACAAATAAATGAAATATGCCCACAAAACACTAATTTTCGGCTGAGTTTATCTCCCAAACCAGTATTTAATTATAAATTAAGTTATTAATACAATGCTGAAGAATAATTACTTTTTATCATAAGTCAAACTTAGTACATTTTATGTAACGATAATTCCAAATACATATTTAATCGATACAGTTAATCTGACAATCTAAAACCAATAAAGATATGGAAGTGGCTAGCCGTACGGGCCTGTACTGCTAGCCAAAAGTTCTAGCCGTATGTGAGTCACGTATGACTAGCCAGGACTCACTGTATTGTCTAGCCGTAAGGCACTTTTCAAACTTATATAGAAGTCGAACATGCATATGTTATTTTGTGCCTCATGATTATGATTTGTTGTTTTATTTGTATGAAAGGTGAATTTTTGTTCATTAAGCACATGGATCGAATAAATAATGATCGGAGTGGAATAAATAAAAAGAACATTGAAAAAAAAAACTTTGAAAGCAAAATTTATTGTATAATTTTCAAATACAATAGATAAATATCGAACAAAAAATGACAATCAAGTAATAAGCCTTAATTAAAGCCTACCCAGGGACTGACAATAGAATTTAAAATGCGTTTCAAGGAACATGCAAACTTTCCTTAATTAATGATGGACAAACTTCTATACCGTCGGTAATTGACGCAATTATCAGATACCAACAACAATATTTCATTTTAAAGGTGTCTAAATTAAACTTAATGAAACAAAAACGGATTATCATCAAAATTTTGTAAACTTTTTCAATTTATGTTATTTAACTGCGACCAAACGCTATTTTTTCTAAACGTCTTGAGATGACGAAGATCGATATTCGTACTTTTTTTACTGTACATAGCCAACAAGGCGATTAATCTCTAAAAAGTAAACATACGAAGACAATTGCTGTTTCTTGGTTAAAATCCTCGCTTAAAGTCATAAAATAACATATGCATTTTCGACTTCCATCTTATTTAGAAAATGCGGTAGGGCTAGCCGATACAGTGTGTCCTTGCTAGTCATACGTGACTCACGTACGGCTAGAACTTTTGGCTAGCCGTATGGGCCCGTACGGCTAGCCACTTCCTAAAGATATGACCTTATTACAATCATAACTCATACATTTCATGTTTTTGTTTTAGAGTTATATAATCATGCAGTGGAAAATGATTAAAAGTTCAGCATCGGACGAGGAATACATATATATTGATATGTATATATAAAAACATCAACAACAACAATCAATGAAAGGAACATGGATGATGAACATATTATTTTGATGTCAATGAACAAGTATACTTATATGAAAGTTCATCTCACATAGAATATATATATATTATATTAAGCATAAAAATTTACATATACTGAATAATTCAAATTTTGCACTCAACAGCATTAATAAAATATCTTCCATGTCTTCATATAAAAATAGCTTTGTAAATTTAAACGATTACAACATGTACAATATTTTTCAATAAGAGCCATGTCCAGTATATTTCCTTCATATGTTACTAAGTATCGCGATGAAAAATTTTTAGTAATAATAATACTTTACAGAGCTAGATTGCTATTCATTGTAATGTACTAATGCAATGCTTATTATTTTTTTTTTAATTTTTAGACAATAATACATAATTAAGGGAAATGAAGTTACATAAAAAGAATCGGTAAGTTATACATAAAATATTATTCAATAATTATTAATTGTACATAAAAATTTTCTTTTCTTCATCTGTTCCTGGAATTCTTCTTCATTATCAAGACTGAGACTGGTTCTCCTCTTACATATCATTTTCTCATAATAACTCATTCACAGTTCACCTAATTTCTCTCGCGCTAATTTTTCAAGTTTTGGTAATAAATAATATTTGGCTTCAATAATCAGTTGTCTTAGCTCTACTGATGTATTTGGTAAGTTGCTCTTTTTCAGAGTTTCATTCTCTCTACAGTATCTAAGATAATTTAATATGATAAAGAATATGTTATAGTCCCTATCTATAAAAAATTCAGATTCTTTCTCATCGGCAAGACATTTCAAAAGTCCATCCGTGCTTCTTAATGTATTTCTACATGTATAAAATTGTTTTCCTCCTATGTTCAAGATAATTTTATTTTCATTGTCCTTTTTAATTTGTTTAATTCTTTCTTTAAGTTTATTTTTGCTCACATCGTCTTTCTTTTTTATATTTTTCTCCTCATGTTCCTTTTTATATTTTCCTTCACTATGTTCATTCTCTTTTTTATATTTCTTATCATTTTCCTCCTTCCTTCTATCATCTTCATTTTGATTCTCTTCATCTTTTTCTCCATGTTCTTCCTCCTTTCTATTTTTCTCATTTATATTCTTTCTATCTTCTACTTTCTTCTGTATATTTTCTTCATCTATTTTTCTATCTTCCTCTTTCTTTCTATTTCCTTCTTCCTTTCTATCCTCTTTCTTCTTTCTATTCTCTTCATCTTCCTTCTTTCTATCTTCCTCCTCTTGCTTCTTTCTATCTTCTTCCTCTTGCTTTCTTCTATCTTCTTCCTCTTTTTTCTTTCTATCTTCCTCCATTTTCTTCTGTCTGTCTTCCTCCATTTTCTTCTGTCTATCTTCCTCCTCTTTCTTCTGTCTATCTTCCTCCATTTTCTTTTGTCTATCTTCCTCCATTTTCTTCTGTCTATCTTCCTCCATTTTCTTCTGTCTGTCTTCCTCTTTCTTCTTTCTATCTTCTTCCTCTTTCTTCTTTCTATCTTCCTTCTCTTTCTTCTTTCTATCTTCCTCCATTTTCTTCTGTCTATCTTCCTTCTCTTTCTTCTGTCTATCTTCCTCCTCTTGCTTCTTTAATTTAATATATATTCTTCTCTCTGTTTCTCTTACATCCGACTCGATTCTCAATCTTTCTTTCCTTTCTTCTTCTTTTCTTTTATCTTCAGCTTCTATCTTTTTCTTTTCCTCTGCTAACCTCCTTCTTAAAAATTCTCTTTCCTGTTGTCTATTGTCACTCATAATATTTACCTCTACTACACTTTCCTCTAGTTTGTCAATTTCAATGTCATTACTACTGCTACTACTGCTGTTGCTGCTACTACTGCTGTTGCTGCTACTACTGCTGTTGCTGCTACTACTAGATGATCTAGATGTGTCGGTTGACGAAAGTGACCGTTCTCTAACACAAAGTCTTTTTGGTGGTGAGGCTTGTTTTTGGTATACATTTATATCTTGAGAACTTCTTTTACCCGAGTATGGTAATCTAGGCAATGTGTTATGTCTTTGTGTTGGTGCATAATATCTGTTTGTATTATCAATAATCATTTGATCAATGTTTTTAATGAATTCCTGTAAGGCTTCTTCTGCCTCTTTGCCTCTCTGGCCCGTGACAGTATGAAATCTGGTAAAGTCATTTCTACTTGTATGACAGAAATTAGATGGAGTATTTCTAAGGAACACCTTGGCACATTTTACACATTTATAGTTCACTTTACTATGCTGTTCAATGATATGTGCTTTGCATTTACCCTTGGTTGTGAAATGCATATCCATGCATATTTGACATGTATATCTTTTCTGAAAAAAAAAATAAAAAAAAATGTTTGATAATATTTATCATTTCTTATTATCCAATCAGACATAGTTATTTTCAGTATTCATATATATATATATATATATTTTTTTTTTTTATGTACAGAGTGACCACTGTAAGTCGTTACAAGACAAACTTCAGAAAATAATTTAAAAAAAAAAATATGAAGGTAAGTGAACACTCAAAGAGTATGGTTTAAATAGTTATTGTTCATACGGTTTTAACTTGTCATGATGAACAACACGGGCTTTCTCTCGAAAACCTTGTATACGGTACAAAATGTCACTAATTTTTGAAACCACTTGATACGGACCCTTCCAAGGTCTACCAAGTTTGCCACTTCTTCCAACTTTACGTGTTGGATTATAATACCAAACAAGATTACCTATTTCATATCTAACAGTATTACTATTTAAGTCATAGTGCTTTTTCATTGTATCACTTGAAAGTGAAAGCTTTTTCCTTGCAAATTCATGTACTTCAGTAATTCTATTTTCTAAAGTCTCAACATAATCCGTGCCATATTTCTTTGCAGGATTATTTATTTCAGGTTTACCAAGAACCATATCAATCGGAAGCCTAACTTCTGTTCCGAACATCATTGTTGCGGGTGTGACTCCAATAGACTCATGAACAGAAGAGCGAAAGGCCATTAAACATAAAGGTACATATTTATCCCAATCATTTCTATGTTCAGACACAAAGGCCGTGAGCATATTGAGAATACTTCTGTTTGCGCGTTCAATAAAACCTCCACCTTGGGGTCTAAAAGCGGTGTTTCTTGTTTTCTGAATACCTAGTAGGATGCATAATTCTTTGAATAATTTTGATTCAAATTGAGAACCTTGGTCAGTATGAATGGTTAATGGTACACCAAACCTGGAGATAATATGTTCAACCAATGCATTGGCAGCAGTTTCAGTTTCTATATTCGGAAGGGGAATTGCTTCGGTCCACTTAGTAAAATATTCAGACACAACCATCAAATAGGAATTATTACTTTGTGTTTTTCCTAAGGGACCCACAAAATCAATAGCAATTCTTTCCCACCTTTCCCCAGAATTAAATTGTCTCATTGGTGCTTTAAATGGCTTTTTAGGCATTTTTCTAGATGCATAAACTTAACACTTCTTGCAGTATAATTCAACATTTTTTCGCAACCCATACCAGTAAAATCTTTGTCGAACTTTTCTTAGTGTCTTCTTAACACCAAGATGACCACTGGTTGCATTATCATGTAATTGCTTCAATACATATTCTGTCAGACACTGAGGTATAACTATTTGATACTCTGTAGTATTTCCTACATCACTTACCCATTTTCGTTGCAATACATTGTTTATCATTGTCAAAGATTCCCATCTATACCAGAAATATTTGACTTGACCATTCAGTCCAGACACACTGTTCCATTCAGGTTTCTGATTATTTTCTATCCAACTTATCACATGTCTGATATGTGGATCAGACCTCTGTAACTGTGCTAAGTATTCTAGATCTATATTTTCTAAATCTATTACTTTCTCAGTATTGCTACCTTTATTACTTGTATCTGAGTCTTTGTCTACATCACAGGTCTTTGTTTTATGTTCTACACTCACCTTGTTCATTGTAGATGTACTTGGTTTACTGTCATTTTCTAGATTCTTATCAGATAGAGATCTGACCTCTTTTGAACCTATATCTAAATCAGTAATAAAACTTTGTGTGGCTAATGCTAAACACGAAGAACCTAAATCTAATTCAGTTTTCTTGTCAGTTGCAATAGAACTAACCTCATTAGAAGACTGGCTACATTTAGTTAAATCTATTTGTGTTTTCGATGGAATAACGCATTTTTTCTTATCTAATTTTAGTGAATTACTAATACAGATATCATTTGACATCTTTCGTTGATTCGTATTCACTGATTGAGCCAATGAAAGTTTCTCAACTATCACACCTGCATCTCTTGCTTTATTGTGTCCCCTTGAAAAGGTGACATATAGGGGTTACTTTTGTCGGCGGCGTCTGTGTCGTTGTCGGCGTCCCCTAAAGCTTGTCCGGAGCATAACTCAGTCACTATAAGTCTGATTGACTTCAAACTTGGTATGCATGCTTCTTTCAATAACCCGAAGTGCAGTGCACAAGGACCGGTACTCTGCAGTTCTTAATTTTTGAGTTATTGCCCTTTGTTAATTTTCATACTTTAATTTTGTCCGGGCCATTTCTCTTCAACTATAAAAGCTATGAACTTGAAACTTCATAGGATGATAGATCTCATTAAGAAGAAGTGCAGTGCACAAGAACCGGAACTCTGCACTTCCTAATTTTTGAGTTATTGCCCTTTGTTAATTTTCATACTTTATTTT